AAGCATGGCATGTGCACATCTACACACAGACACACACAGACACACACACACACACACAGACACACACACACACACACACACACGGGCGCATGCACACAATAAATAAATAATCAACTAATTGAAAAAGTAATAGAACAAGAATCATAGTTCCACTGGGTATGGTGGCACACACCTTCAATCCCAGCACTCAGGAGGCAGAGGCAGGTGGATCTATGTGAGTTCAAGACCAGCCTGGTCTACATAGGGAGCTCCAGGCCAGTTGGACCTACAGGGAAACCCTGTCTCAAAAAGACGAAAAAAAAAAAAAAAAAGAATCATAGTTCCCATACTTCATGAGAGCTTGCTATGTGCCAAGTACTATGTTAAAGCCCTGTGCAGACACTAGCAACTCATTAAACTTAAAGCTCACAAAACTTTGATGTGGATGTAATTATCATTTCCATTTACAGATGAAGAAACTGAATTCTATACAGTCCTATGTGAGTCCAGCAACTCACCCACAGGTGCAATGAGAATGTACCTGATTGAATTCAACCTCTAGGTCAAGCTTCCACTTCACACGTGAGAGACAGGCAACGAAATGCAAGGAATGTTTATTTATCAACATGCAGGACACTGGGTTAAATATTACCAGGGTAAAGGACTCATGAATCCAGCCCCACTGGGGAGGAGCATGGGGGATCTGTGCACTGTTGGCAAGTTGAAAGAGGCTTCCTTCACTGGGTGTGGTGACACAGGCCTTTAATCCCAGTTCTTGGGAAGCAGAGGCAGGTGGATCTCTTTGATTTCAAGGACAGCACGGTTTATGTAACAAGTTCCAGGCCAGCCAAGACTATATAGTGAGACCTTGTCTCAAAAAAAAAAAAAAAAAAAAAAAAAAACACAGAAAAAGAAAAAGGCTTTTTGAACAGGCATCTGAGAAAGGTTTCCAAGGATATACAGGACTCTACCTGATAGTGGTGGGGAAGAGGTGACCCAAGAAGAGCTGATCAGGAGACAGCAAGAGTAAAAGCAAGGCATCAGGAGCAGGCAGCAGCAGGTTATGAGGCAGCTGTGGAAGAACAGCCTTGAAAGCTAAGTAGAAATCATACCATGGAAGACTGACAGCAAACCAATGTAGGTCAGAGTGTCACATGTCTGTAAGCACTTGGGAGATGGAGACAGATCAGAAGTTCAAGGTTATCCTTGGTTATATAGCTATATAGTTCAAGTAGTTTGAGGCCTGTCTGGGTTACATAAGACCTTGTATCAGAGAGAAGGTGGAAGGAGGGAATGAGGGAGCGGGGGGGGAGAGATAGAGAAAGAGAGAGAGAGACAGAGAGACAGAGAAACACAGAGAGAGAGAGAGAGAGAGAGAGAGAGAGAGAGAGATTGACTGATTGATTTGGGAAGCCACTGGAGTCTTTGAGCAGAAGAGTAGCCCAAGTCAATTTTATTAAAAGGCTTGACCAGGGCTTCCAAGGAGCACCTGCTGGATGCTGTGAGTCAGAGCTATCTGACTTGTTTCCCATACCCTTAGTATTGATGGTATAGCACAACCGGGCACCAGAACTGAGTCCCTAGGGCATTTGCTAGAGCTCACAGCCTATGGAATTCAGTTCTCAGAGCCAGGTGGCCAATGTTCTCTCAGTCTGGATGCTGCCCTCCTGGGCTCTTGTCTGTGGTTTTTCTTTTTTTCTTATTTTTTTGGTCTTTTTTGAGACAGGGTCTCCCTGTAGCCCCAGCTGTCCTGGAACTCACTATGTAGACCAGGCTGGCCTTGAACTCACAGAGATCCACCTGCCTCTGCCTCCCAAGTGCTGGGATTAAAGGTGAGCGACACCACTCCTGGATGGTCTGTGTATTTTTAAAAATTTATTTAGTGGGTGCGTGCATGCGTGCATGTGTGTGTTTATATGTGTGTGGGCATGCTTGTTTGCAATGTTTGTGTGGAGGACAGTTTTCTCCTTCTACCATGTGGGTGCCTGAGTTGTTAGGCTTGGCAATAAACGCCTTTATCCACCAAGCCATCTTACCTGCCCCTCTTCTGTAAATGTTTCCCAATTCCCAAAATGAACAAATTGAGGTTCAGGATGGAACCTGGGATATCAAGATACATCCTACCCCCTCAGGGGTGGGAGACTGAGCTTGGAGCTGAAAATGGGGTCCTGAAGCTAGAGAAATGGACAAGGACTGGGGTAGGGTATGAGGGAGGGGCTCAGTATAGTGGGGATTGGGTCTTTCTGACAATCCTGTCATCTGCCAAGATGTGTTCCCTTTGGGGCAGGTATAGAGGTTAGAGGGGCTAGGGAAAAAAGCCAAACTCTGTACATGACCAGGGCATCTGTCTGCAGCTGAAGGGACTTCCCCAGCCAAAAGAGAACTCAACGACAGGAATTCTGGAGTAACAGCACCTTGAAAATCTCCCACCTGGATAAAGGTCTTAAGTATTTAGGATAGCTGAGCAGGCAGTGGGGGAAGGTGTCGCTGAAACACACTTCCATTTCCTGGAGAGTTCAGTTGAAGGCTGGGTTCTGTCCCCAGTATTCCTGGAGAGGGAAAGCAAAGCCAGCAGACCCAGGGGACACCCTACCCACAGCCTTTCTGCATCCAAGGAAATGGGCAGCACTTACCCACAAAGCGTCTCCTCTGGCATTGCTAGGGCTGGATCTGCAATAGTGTTCTGTGTGGAGCTCCTTAAATAGGCCCCCACCCTGCCCCAGAGCCCCGCCTGCCCATACTGGCTCTTCTGAGAAAGGAGGAAGGTGTGGGAGGGCCAGGCACACTGCCCAGCGAACCCTTTCTGACCTCAAGCCAGAGGGAGGGGACTACCCCTAACCTTCATACTTAGTGTCCCCTTCCTCATCTCAGTGTCTGACTATCCCTTCTACCCCTTGAGACCATCCCTCTGGCTCTTTCTCTGCTCTTAATGCCAGGAACCATTTGCCCTCATGCTGAATTCAAGTCCAATTCCTGGTTCTGAGGCAGGGTGCTGGGGAATTACAAGCCAGAGGATATAGCTCCTAGACTTTTTGGTTAATGAGGAGACCCTTCACCCTGCAAATCATCTGAGGGAATGTAGAGGTGGTGAGGAGGCAACTTGACCTTCCCACCCCATCCCTATCCCAGGGCTTCAAGGAGCTCTCAGGAAGTTGACTTCCATCTTGGGGAGAAGAGTAAGAGTTAAGGGGACAGAAAAACAGGGTTTGTAGTCAAGGTCAGGCTAGCTGTGAAGCAGGGCAGTACTTTTATGGAACCCCAACTTAGATTTTATGTCTGTGGTAGTCCTTTCTTCTGCCTACTTTGGTCCTAGAACCTGACCCTGTTACATAGAGTTGACTCAGAGTTGGGATCCGAGGGGCTCCCCCTAGAAATATTTTCCATCATTCTTCTCTGAGAGCTCAGGATGTTCTTTTTGCTGTCAACCTATGCCCACCTGCCATCCAAGAATCGGGAGATAGGGATGAAGAAGACACAGCCTTGGGGATGGCTTCAGGGGTCTTGGGTCAGTACTAGGGGCAGTCCAGTCCAGGAAACCTGTAAGTTCCAGGAATGGGGGTGGTAAGAAATGAATAGTCATCAGGATTGTGCAACAGATAGAGGGGAGGAGGAAAGAGGACCCAGAAGGGAGGGCTGGCAGCAGCCTGGGGCTAAAGGGGTAAACCACAGTCCCTTCAAAGGGGCCTGCTTGGCCAGAGTTCAAAGTGGCTGTCACCCCATCCTTCATTAACCCTAGCACTGCCAGGCTGGCCAGCAATGTTTTTATGGGCGACTAGAAGCCAAGTGTGTCCCTCCCACTCCCTTTTCTTGCCTCCTCCCCTCAACAGGCAACTTCCCAGCTGGGGAGAAAGGAGTGTGTGGCAAGGGACACTGGAGAAGAGAGCACAGAAATGCCTTTTCTCCCTATCTTAGAACTGACTCAGTCCCTAGGGGAGAGAATAGAACTTTCTCCCTGGGACTGAGTTTCTAGAGAGTAGCAATGTCTACTGAATCCACAGCACCCTACAAGAAGACTGGCACTGAAATGAGGCTCATCCCTGCTGATTGGGATGGGGTAGATCCTCGAAGGGGACTCTCAGCACTCATTTGGAGTTCCCAGGAAGGCATGGCTGTGAGCTTCCCCACAGGGCAGTCTCTGGAAGCTGAAGTAGCAGGAACAGAAACTGGAAGTTGAGGTATTGTTGGGTCCTGGTGGACAGTTGTCCTGTCTCTTTTAGATGATCAGCCTAGCCTTACCAATGTAGTCAAGAGGGCACTGGGGGCGGAGGTCTGTAAACCATCCTGGATGGTTCAGGTCTAGACACTCCTCAAGCATCTACTGTTCACCACCTTCCTAAGACCCTGTAAACCACCTAAATCTTAGGAAGACATCAATAAGGGACAAAGGGAGGTTCGGTGTGGTGGTACATCTTTGATCCCAGAGGCAGGTGGGTCCCCTATGACTTCGAGGGCAGCCTGGGCTTGGCTACATAGGTAGATCCTGTCTGAAAAAAAGGGGGGGGGGGGTCGGGGGTGGGGGTGCACGCCTTTAGCTCCGGCAGAGGCAGAGGTAGGCAGATCTCTGTGAGTTCCAGGCCAGCTGGGACTACAAGGAGACCCTGTCTCAAAAAGACCAAAAGAAAAAAAAAAAGGGGGGGATGCGGAGCTAGACTGATCATGAAGGGGAATGCTGGAATTTGGGGAAGACCATTAAATCTTGTGATAGGAGCCCTATCAGGGCGCCACAGGGATTAAGGAAGAGCAGGAGAGACACCAGAGAGCAAAGGGAAATAAATCTATAGGATTTCAAAGCGGGAGTTCTGGGTCGGGGAAAAAAGGCAGACATAAAAACCCTAGGCTCTTTCAGACCTAAAGATTGAAAAGGTCTGGACCTCTAGCGGACAAAAAGCTATTAGACAGTAAGAAAATCCTAGCCACTGCGACTCCACCCACTGGCAGCATCTCGGAGATGCTTCTCTCTACCCACAACAAAAATGGCCGGCGCGGGAGCCGGTCCAAAGCGCTGACATGAGGAAATTTGCTCCGCCTTGCTATGAGCAAACTGCCCTTCTCAAAGATGGCCACTGCGGCGCCTCTAGGACCAAAGTGCTCTGGGCCCCGCCTTTGATCTCGTTGGTGGGGCTAGGGGATGAGGACTGCGCCGCGCGGGACAAGTCGCCGGCGGCGCCCGATGGAGCAGGTGATTTCCCCTCCAGCCCCGAGTCCCGGGCTAGGAGAGTCGCTGAGAGCAGTAACACAGGGTACCCATCCTGGGTGTTCCCCCATGGTACTCCCCGGGGGGTGGGGCGGTCGACCCGTGTGTCTAGTCGACGTAGCCTGTATCAAGGCACATCTCGCTTGTTCAGGCCTGTCTCGTCCTGTGACCTCCCAGCAAGGCCGCAGCTTCATCCCTGTACCTTCGGGCCACTAGCTATTCTGGATGCTTAAGAGTGCCTCGCTAACGGTTATAAGAAGCGCTTGCTTCAAGGGTCGGCCATCATCGTGATCCCACTTCCTGTGCTCCACCTCCCCGGGTTTGTGATGGTAGGATCCCTTGTTCCCCACAATGTCCTTGGTACCTTCAAGACCTGACTTGGAGATCAGGGTGGAATGATATTTTCTGGAGCCTTCATTATGCTTCATTAAGACTTTATAGAAGGGACTGGGAATAGTGAAGGCCTCTGTGCTAGACCCCTTACTACTCCCTGAGTTCCCAAGGACTTCTTCCACACTGGCTTCCCAGGATTCCTCCTCCCACACATGGCCTGCTCTCTAAACAGTGAGCACCTCTCCACTCTAAGGGAGTAGATTGGTACATCTCACCCCTCTCTAAATTGCCCAAAGGGTGCCGGTTTGTCCCTGGGCCTGCGGGAGGCTCCCGGGACATCTGGGGGCAGTGAGGATGGGTTGGTAAGGTTAGCTGCAGAGAGGAAATGAGGCCTGCAGAATGGAGTTTGCAGATGCAGACGGAAAGATGTTCTGAGCAGCGAGAAGGGTCGAGCAAAGATTCTGAAGTAGGCCAGACTTGCTGGCCATTCGGGAAGGGATCATAACACAGGTGTGGACCACACCATTGGTATCATGAGAGGTGGTGTAGTAGTTAACGTAAAATTGTGGTGCCAGGCTGCCTGTATGTGAATCTGCCCTGTGACCTTGGGCAAGTTTTTATTTTTTAAAAAATATTTTTATTATTTTCGTTTTATGTGTATGAGTGTGTCGCCTGCATGTATGTGAGTGCACCCGTGTCGTGCAATGCCTTGGAGGTCAGAAGAGAGCTTCGGATTCCCCTGGAACTGGAGTTAAGGACAGTTGGTAGCCGCCATGTGGGTGCTGGGAATCGAACCCGGGTCCTCTGCAAGAGCAGTCAGTGCTCTTAACCTCTGAGCCATCTCTCCAGCCCCCTCTCTTTTTTAAAAGAAATTATTTTTATTTTATGTGTCTTGAGTGTTCTGCCTGGTACTGGGGTTATGGATGGTTGTTAGCTGCTGTGTGGGTGCGGGGAACCAAACCTATGTCCTCCGCAAGAGTACATCCAGTGCTCTTAACCACTGAGCATCTTTCCAGCCCCTGGGCAAGTTTCTTAACCTTCAGTGCCTCTATAGTTTAGGATTGTTATGAGGATTAAAGAAGTTAATACATGTAAAGTGCTTCGAACAATGTTTAATAAACAGTCAGTAGACACTGTTTTTACCATCATCAGAGGTATTTTAGCATTGTACTCGTGGTACAATGATAGTCACATTTCGTAGGCACTGCCAATAGTGATCTCTGATTTGGGGGCCCAGGAAATAATAGGGTTCTTTGGGCTGTATCTCTAATTTTTTTTTTTTTTGTCTTTTTTTGAGACAGGGTCTTGCTATAGCCCCACCTGGCTGATTATGTAGACCAGGCTGGCCTTGAACTCACAAGAGATCCGCTGCTTCCCTCTGCCCCCCAGGCGCTGGGATTAAAGGCATGCACCACCAGGCTGGACTGTATCTGGAATTTGAAAATTCTCATGGAAATCATGTTTTTAACTTAGAAAAGTCATGGTGCTCAGACTGACTTAGGAAAGCAGTTTAGGAGTCCAAATCTTTCCCAGCTCAGGAACTATGGGAAGAAAGTCTTAGGAGCTCCCAAGCAGGAAGGAAAGCTGGGGAATGTGGGGAAGGGTGGGGAGAGATGTGGCGAGGTTTGAAATCTGGGCCATGTTTGGTCAGTCCAAGAGCAGAGGAGGGAAGATGGTCCTTAGCAGAAAAGGCAGCTACAGAACCTCAAGGGAGATCAACATCTTTGAAGACAGGAGCTTTTCTACAACTTTTTAGCCCTTATACCTTGCATGCAGCAGCCATGTGTGTTTTTCTCTGCAGAGGTTCCCAGGCCACTGTCAGCAGTCAGGATGTGGAGGTGGTCTAGGTCTGTGGAGTGGGCTGCTTTTTCAGGGCAGTTGCATGATGGGACCTAGTATGCCTGGGCTGAGTGGTTCTACCGTCTACCTGGGAGACTGGAGGTACTCAGACCTGCTTTCCAAAATGACTTTTGTGCTGTCATAGCCACTCTGTTTTACCACTCAGGGGACCAAGTAACTGGTCAGAGATGATAGTCCTGGCCCAACTCACATGGAAGTCTTAATATCCCCTGTCCCCAGAGTTGCTCCTAGACTAACACTGAGTTAGGTAACTTATTTGAAGTGGGGCATTGCTAGGGATCCAACATAGGGCCTCATGCATAACCAGGCAAGTGCTTTACCACTGAGGTACTTGTCCAGCCCCGAACTTGGACCTCAAGTACCACTGATTGGCCCAGGTGACTCTGACAAAGTCATTAAGCTCACTTAGCTTTATTTCATCTGTGAAGAAGGAAATAACTGATTTTTGTTTTGTTTTGTTTTGTATTGTTAGTTTTTTGAAGACAGGTCTCCCTGTAGCGCCAGCTGGCCTGGAACTTGCTCTGTAGACCAGGTTGACCTCGATCTCACAGAGATTCATCTGCCTGTGCCTGTGCCTCTGGAGTGCTAAGATCAAAGGCTTGTGCCACCAAGCCTGGCCTTGATTTTTTTGAGTGCCTACTTCCCAAGGATGTTGAGTGTGCATTGGTGAATAAGCCAGGTCTGGAGCAGGAGAGAAATAGGAGAGTTTGCCTTCATGAACCAACTGGAAGAAACATTAAACACTGTTCAAATAATTCATTAATTATAACTGTGAAAGAAGCACATTCTGCAGTGAGGGTGTAAGGTATCATTGAGGAGACCAGTTCTAGAGGGTCTGGACTTGAATATTAGCAAGCTAAAAGCAAGCCAGGATAGAGGGGACAGATCTAGGGAGGGTATGGTGCATGATAAGGCTGAAGAAATAGAGGCCAGAGTGAGGCCCTAAATCAAAGGCTACATACAAAAAGATTCTGGACTTACTGAAAAGGTAATGGAAAGTTGTTGTTACATTTGTTTATCTTACTTAATTTTTCTTTGAGACAGGTCTCACTATGTAGCCCTAGCTGGCCTGGAACTCACTATGTATAGCAGGCTGGCCTCAAACTTACAGAGATCTGCTTCCCAAGTTCTAGGATCAAAGGTGTGCCACCATGCCTGGCATTTTTTAGCCTTTATTTATTTAGGTTTTGTTTTGTTTTGTTTTGTTTTTTGAGATAGGGTCTCCCTGGAACTCGCTATGTAGACCAGGTTGGCTTTGAACTCACAGAGATCACCTGCCTCTGCCTCCTGAGGGCTGAGATTGAAGGTGTGTGCCAGCACACCCAGCTTCCTTTATTTTATTTTATTTTTTAGAGAGAGAGAGAGAGAGAGAGAGAGAGAGAGAGAGAGAGAGAGAGAGAGAGAGAGTGAGTGTGTGTGTTCCATCACTGGTCTTCTGATGACGTATAAGCACTCTTAACAGCTGAGCCATCTCTCCAGCCACCATTGTCAGGTTTTAAAAAGATCACATAACTATGGTATGAAGAATAGGTTGCTGGGGGAAAGAAGGTATCAGGGAGAAGTGCTAAGAAGCTCTTCCACAAGAATTGGAGCCATGTGGAAAGCAGAGGAAAGAAGTAGATATGAGGGCCTGGGAATTGGCTCAGTGGGTAAGGTACTTGCTCTGCAAGCATAAGAACCTGAGTTTGGATCCCTACCACACACATTTTTTTTAAAAAAAGTTGGTCATAGGGGCACACAGCTATAACTCTAGCACTTGGGGGCAAGATAGGCAGATCCCAGGGACTCCTGGGTCAGCCAGTAAAGCCAAAATAAGGAGCTCTCATAGTTGAGAGCACTTGCTGCTCTTGCAGAAGACTGAAATTTAGTTCCCAGTATCCACATGATAGCTTACAACTCTCTATAACTCCAGTTGTAGGGCATCCTATGTCCTCTTTTGGGGTCCTTGGAGGAGTAAAAAATTTTGAGACATGCTAAGTGTGACATGCCTGTAGGATTCCTACATGGCAATGTCAATGAGGCAGAGATACCAGTTAATAGCTCAGAAGAGGAGACTGAACTAGAGTATTGAACATTTGTAAATTAGTGACATAGAGTCAGTACATACAGATGTGGGCCCAAGATGAGGTCTTGTCTTTTTTTTT